TATTTTGAGTAAAAGTGAACTGCACTTCAAATGAGTGCAACAAAAACCCTGTCAGCAATGGCAGATCCTTATGCCTGCCTGGAAAAGTTTCAAACGTTTTTTGCAATACACAGCCTGGCAATGACCCGTGGGTTTAACTTAGTCCACACTGTACATACTTACTGATTTGAGAACAGCAACTATAGTAAGCAGTTAATGCCAAACAATAAGCAAATTATCTTTCAGTGTTTCTTTACATTTTTTATTATCTCATTCAGGCTTTAACATCTACAGGTAGTGGTGACATTTTTCCATATCAGGCAGAGTTTGGTAGACAGCATGACAATTTATTAATTACATGCCCATTCAATATTTAGACTTACACACTGGGTGCTCCCAACTAACCAAAGCAAAATGAAAATGTCATAACATGGCTGCAAAAGATTATATTTTCAAACGAACGTTTATCCAAGTAACTCATCATTTAAGTTCAATGGATAAACAAGAAACAAACTTTTGTAAAAGTATGCACATTTCATTAATGGTGCCATGGTGACCAAAACACTTTGGTAAATTTGACGCAACCCTGAGCTGTGATAGTGGACACAACAATGTCTAAGAATGTGATCGTAAATCTTGGTTGAAAAAGAGGTACATCCAAGAGTCGTGACCAGTATCCTCGGTGGACAGAACGCTTTTTCTTAAAATTTCTGTATTGAATGAACATTTCAACTGAAATTCTAGAAATTGTTGCATTGAATGTACCCTTTGCCATAGATAAAAATTAAAACTATTCAGTTCACGGTTTAATACGTTAACAGTCCATTCAATTGGTGCAGCTGTGTTCAACTTGGATGATATGTTTCCCTCAAATTTGCAAGTTGAAGTACAAATGGGGTTCTTCAGCAGACTCCTGATGCACCACCTTAAAATCAGGACAGGAAGGGCAATCTCTCTTCTTCTGCTATGCTCTAGTTTAAAGGTGTTTGTTTCTGCCTATGAACAAAAGAAAGGAAGATTAATAAATAAGTTGAAAGGTAAATAGTACTACAGGGAGCGCACACAATCTCGCAGTGTGCGTAACCGATTGTTATTTTATAGTGGATTTACCGTTTGCTTCAGTTATGGCGATAAATCACTTACTATGTATATAAATCGATGTTAAATAAACGCTGTCAACAGCGAACTCAAAATCCTTCAAAATCGCTCAAAAAACCGCTTTTGAGGCAAAAGGACGACAATACATATACACCAAAGGTAAGGTAATTCAACCTTTATTCATTTCGATTTATATACATAGTGATTTATCGTTACAGGTGAAGCAAATGGTAAATCCAGTGTATTTACAATAAAATAGCAATTAGTACACACACTGCGAGATTGTGTGGGTTCCCTGTGATAGTACTTGTGTATGTTATAAATACTGGTTAGTTTTGATTTATCCTAGCTTAATTTTCAATATCCTTTTTCTCCTAGCCCTAATAATTTATTAGAGCTAGGAGACAGAGGAAATTAAAGAGAATCATTGTTAAGTACATTAAATCAAAATGAACCTGAATCTAACTTTGAAGCTGTTTTTTACTACAGCAAAGGCATAACTGGCTTTTACTGGCCACATTGCAATTGAAGGAATACTCCATAGGACCCAGGAAATTTTTGTCAATCAAAGTTGAAAAATTCCTTTAACAGACACATAATTACCACCAGGTCCTGGTAATTCAAATGTTGGATAAGCACTATCTATCCACCAGGCCCCAGTTGTTCAAATGCTGGATAGCCCCATCCACAGGATAATATTAGGGAAATCAAGTGCGGCAACATCCGGCAGCAGATAGTGTTATCCACATCTTGAACAACTAAGGCCCTGAGCACTGTAATACTGTGGTTATAAGCAATATCGCAGCAGAATTGATTAATAATCATGACAGTTAGCTCTCTCTTACTCAACACCCAAAGTGAGTCATTTTCTTTGAAATGGCCATCACATGGAGCTTAATACAAGTATATTTTTTGAAAAGCTCCTTAAATTAGTGGCTGTTGTCATCACAGAGAGGTGGCCTTGAGTGAATGTATGGAATATCCAATTCCACTGGAATTAGAGAAAGTGGTCATTGGTAAAGAGGTAAATATGAGTAAACATTTGTCTGTTATTATAAAAAGACAAAACTAAAACAGAAGATAATTATTTAAAGATGTCATATTATACAATGGAACCTCTATTCAGGGGAAACCCTTGGGACCAAGGCAAGTGTAAAAATTAACCAACAAATAAAAATGTTTTCTTTTATCCTGCCTTGGAATCTGCTGCAGTTATTGTTTCAAGCAACTTATGTCTAAAAAATTATTATTAACTTACCTCTGCAATCTTGTGTGTTGAATTCTCACAAGTACAGTGCATGGATTTAAGTAAGGTAGTTAAAGTTTTGAAAGCTGTTGCAATTGTGACTAGTGAGCACTTGAATTTATTAACGCTTTTGTGGACAGTCACCTTTTGAATGCCCCCCTGAATCACCTGAATGGAGGTCAAATGTGGGTTTCGGGATCCAGGTAAAGTTTCCCTTTCCCCCGAATAGAGGTGTCCCTTCAATAGAGGTACACCTGTTACAACTACCAAGATTATGTGAAAATGTTTCTGGGACCAAATTTGGTGTCACCTGACTGAAGGTGTCCCTTGAATAGAGGTATCGCAAAGGAGAGGTTACACTGTAATAGTTAAAGATGATCATACTCACAGAAATGAATGACCATTGCAACACAGCAGTCTGAGTTTCATCCTGAAAAACCAATATTGGCAGTAAGGGTAACTGTTTTTATTTACCATGGTAAATACCTTATTATGTAATTTAACACTTGGCCTTCAAGTTTTGAAAATGACTTAATTTGTCTTTTCTTTTTCAACAACCCGCATGAGAAATGATCACAGAATGCACACTACAGAGTACTAATAATTACTAGTAAGCTATCATTTTGCCTGTTATTACATGTTGGTACATGTGTGTAGCAAACTCCTATCAATAAGCAGACTACTGTAATGGGGCCTGTAGCTCATTGAGCACCTGTATGCATAGTACATTCACTGTGGGAAGTAACCTTTTGTGGTATAATAATTATCTTCGTATCTTAAAAGGTTTCCACTTCGCTTTTATCCTGGTGATATCATAAATTCAGGCAAAACTATAAGACAACATTTTGCTTACTAACAACTACACTGTGCTAACTATGGCATAATACTCCTCCAACGAAAAAATAATACTTTTTTTCCTGGAGCAGATGCATCAAAATAGCAGATATTTAATGAAGAGGTTCCTACATACAATGCAACATTAAATTTTCTTTTATAAGTGGATGGTTCCAAAGTTCCTTCTCCAGTATAAAAAATATGTCTTTTTGGTGCTTGAAACCTGACTAATGGCATCAAGAAAATCAGCTTGTAATTTCTAGGTACCTTTTTCTTTCCCAAGCACTCTCCACATTTCAAAATATTTTTCTTTTCCAACTGCTGTCATTTTCACTTTACTTAAAACAATTTATCTTTTAATCCTTGTTGAAGGTTGATGGTCTAAATTTAAAGAAATCTTTCAAACAGACTTGGAACAACCAAATAATTTATTTTTGCACAGAGTTGAGAGTCTTATATTGAAAAATAAGGAAAAAATCTGCCACAGTAGTACGTTTGGAAAAAAAATCTGGGCCCAAACCTAGAAACCGGGCCCTTCCCTCCCCTCCTCCGATACACACATAAATCACCCTGTGCCCGTCCCTGATTTTATACTCTAACGAGCTGAGTATAAAATAAAGATGTATGTAAAGCTAGGTTGTCATTGAAAATATATTGTTTCCAATAATATATTAAGATAAAAACTGCACATAAAATACAGGAGTTTTGAAACCAGCAAACTAAAACCGAACAAGTACAAATTGCCCGCCAAAACGCGCTTTATAATGCAAATGGCGATGCTTTGTACTTTGTCCGTTCTTTACGTCCGAGGACTTTTAGGATAAAGCAAAAAAGGTATATCCCTTTTACACTGATTCTGCTTACCCCTTAAACTATTAGTAGCTCCTTCTTCAAGGAGATAAGCCTGCTGCAGAGGACAATATAGACAATGCCTTATCATTATTTAAGCTCAGGCTATAATTGTCTGCGAGTGCTTACCTTGTAATTTCGAAGAATCTTCAACACCAGTACTATCGCCGAGCCATGTCTGTACGTCGTAAACACGAGTCTCTACCGCCACGGCTAATACTTAAGAGACGATTCCAATTGAAGAAATCAATATCGAGGCAAGAAAACATCGAGAAGAAGGTATAAACGACGCTTTACGATTAGCTTCAAATCGTTAAACTTTGCGCGCGCGTTTATCCAACGATGATTTGATCCAAGACCAGTGATTGATTCAAGCGTTACACGTGATCACATCAATAACTTATTTATGCGATCGAGACAAATGATTGGTTGAGCAAAACAAATGATCCATGTATGTATGAGATCAGCGTGACCAGGTCACGGTGCTGCACAACAGGCGCTTTAGTTTTACGAAATGTGACTTTAATACACCTGAAAAGATCCTGACACAGTGTCAATAATGTTGCTGAACGAGCAGATAATGAAGACGACGACACAGAAGATAATAATTGGATTGTAGCTTTGGTGTTGAATCAATATTGATAGTTGCCGCTTGATCGTAGCATAAGGATTTTGACAGCTAAACCGCTTGAGATATAGATATGTCAGTACGCGATCATTGTAGCTTTTTATTTGTTCGATATTTGTGGTTTTGTGCCTTTCTTAATTTGCAACGCTGAGACGAATCGGTAAACTTTGTGTGAGTATTTTTACTCAGTTGTCTGCTTCACAGCCAAGTGACTCGAAATAAGGTGTTAATTTTACTCACTATAAAGGGTAAAAGGATTTACCTTACTCAGCGAGTAAAGGGTTTACTCGCATGTTTTGATCATAGTCATTTTACTCAGAATAGTGAGTTGTTATAACTCTCTCTGAGGGGTAAAAAAAGCTAACTCATATTGTGAGTAATTTTACTCAAAAAAATGAGTAAAATGAGACACTTTACTCAAAATTGAGTTACATTAACTCATTTGTAAAAATGCTTTTTTTACTGTGTAATGTCATCTAAATCTACAGACGCACACACACACACATTCCTTAGGAAGAGAGGAAATATATCTCGGTGCATTATAATTATCATATATGAAGTACCTACCTGTGAGTGGCCGCTCATGTCATCATTTAGGAGGAGCCGTTGACGAAAATACTTTACAAAAAAACAAATTTTTAAAAAGCGGGCTTTTCAACAATGGCTTTTACTGCCAAGATATCGTCATGGCGTTTTCGCTACCTGAACATTGTAGGTTGTTTGCTCAAAAGAAGGCCTACCAAGGGGGGGTCACGGGCACCCCAGGACCCCCCCTAGCTACGCCCCTGCGTAACGTCATCTAAATCTACAGACGCACACACACCGTCCTTAGGAAGAGAGGAAATATATCTCGGTACATTATGATTATAATATATATGAAGTACCTACCCGTGAGTGGCCGCTCATGTCATCATTTAGGAGGAGCGCTGGCTCATTTACCGAACAGCGGCTGGTAATCAAACTTATCACGAGCCTGTTTTATTAGAAATTTGCAAGAGACTGTCATGATAAACTATGACAGCTATTTAATTACTATGTACCATTGGTGACTACAAAGTAGGGCATATGGCTGTGTAGCATTGTTCTTAACGATAATGACTAACATTCATTTAAAAAGGAAATAGCTCATTTTTGTTCAAATTATAGACGAACCGTTTTGTAATTGAGCTTCTTCATCAGTAGGTCGCAATTTTCGTTTCCACGTTGAATAGAATGACTTAACGTCAGACTGTATGGCCGTCGAGTGAAGAAGCAGGTGCTCCCAAAACGTATCGTCAGTTAGTTGAACACTGAACCTTCGGCAATAAATTAAGCTCGCAGGCAAGTGTAAAACATAGGTCGGAGAGGTGTATTTCTGAAAATCGTCATAGAGCTGATAGAGGACAATTGCACCTCAAATTTTAAGCTTGTATCGCACTTGTGTTGAACATTCGTTGAGTGCTTCAAATCTAATGTGTCGAAAACAGAGCGTAGAAGAATTACTTGCCGATGATTTTTATGGTATTAGAACCCCAAATAATAAAAATCACATGAAGAAACAAAAGAAATGCAAGCACAATATTGGTATTTGGTGAAGCTTTTAGTTTACTATTTGGCTGGAAATAGTTTTGCCACAGTTTAACCGTCTTTCGATTAAGCTGAATTCAAACGCGCTTTAGTTTAACAGGGAAAAGGAACTTGTAAAAAGATGCGTGTCGTACTGATTCCATCCTCTGTATCTCTAATACTCTCAAACGTGCTTTAAAACTTGTAAAAGAAACTTGTAAATAAGAAGCATTTTTTTCTACAGATGTTTGCATCACTGATTTCTTTGACTTATTGTTACTAACCTAATAAATCCCAAGGAACTAACTTGATGAGCAACAAAGTGTGTTTTTAACAGCTTGCCTAAGTTCCCTCATCTTCCAGAAATAAAGCAATGGATTTAAAAAAGAGTTTAAGAAAACCAGAGTCTTTGAGAATTCCCTAGCAAGATAACCCGATAAAGGTATCCCTCTTTGGGGTGTTACAGCGTCCGCTATACTATAAGGAAAATAGCAAAAAGCTAATACAAGCTGTATCCACAGGGCATTAGAAACTGCTTTCCTGTATCGGGCTTTGTTCAGGAGTGTTGTTTGCTGGGGCTGACCTTGAAAAGAGTTATCCTGTACTTGAATATGGTTACGACGTAGAGTGAGGAAAATTTTTGTGTAAGAGATACCGGAGACGACGAGACACAGAGGTACACTTATCTTACCCCACAACACCAGTATACGAATGTCCCAAAAATAAGATGAAGTACTAACGATGGACAAAATCCACAAAATGGCTACAGTCATACGTGTTCTTTTCAAAGTTACAACTTGTCTGTACCTAAGCCCTAGCAACAGAGCTAGAAGTCTGTCCATACTTGTCGTGATCAGAGTGAGCAACGATACCGAACACATAACGTAGCTAGTGATAATACTCGACAGAAGGGCGTAATAGCAAATATCCCATCTTTTGTTCAGAACAGACATCAAATAAGAAACATACAGAGGCTCGACAATGATGCCAACACTGAGATCAGTCAACGCCAGGTTTAGATAAAGTACTTTGGACGGCGGGTGAAGTGAACGCGTCTTGCGTAGCGCAACAAGGACCAGAGAGTTTTCAACAAAAGTAGTCATGGACAGAAAAATATTTATCGCTGAAAGAAAGGTCACCTCGTTATGTACTTCTGCAGTGAATTCTGTTGAGCAATACAGTTCCGCTATGGTTTTCTTGTTTTTCTCTAGTGTAATGTTTGTAAATTCTGCCATCTCTTTTCAAAACAAATCTGTTAGAGTTTGCTAAAACACATATCACCAGTTTTTATGACCGTCATTAGGGCCAGGATGTTAGTATTCCACACTGTCAGTCAAACTGTCAACTGGGTCCGTGGAAATTTCCTTTTCGCAAGCGATTTCTGTTTTCAATAAGCAACCTGTTTAAAGTAAATAAAACAAACAAGCAGCCAACAAAGGAAAAAGCGACGAGTTTATCAGATGACATTTCGGACGGTTAAACTGTCCATCTTCAAGGGATTAAATAAACTAGGCAAGTTGATATAAATTTAATCAAATAGGCCTGAATGGGAATAAAACTGAAAAAATGGGAACTAATGGAAAAACGGATCAAATAGCAATAACTTACACAAATAAATAGAAGATATTACATGGCCGCGCGGAGATACGAAATTTCTCTTCGAGTGTTGTTAAATATTTCACGAGTGAGCGCAGCGAACGAGTAAAATATTTTTTCAACACGAGAAGAGAAATTTCGTATCTCCAAGCGGCCATGTAATGTTCTATTTATTACATAAACACCAATGAAATACCAAACCATTTCACTTTAATAGTTTTTTGGTGTGAAAGGCGCGATTTATTATGTAGCCATAGCAACGGTGATATTTTCACATGTGAAGATAACATGTTATTTTCACATGTGAAGATATCAAGTTTTCGCGTGAAAGCTCACCTGGTATTTCATTGGTGTTTATATAATAAAAGATAGTAATTAGCAGTACCGTGTTTATTCGAATAAGCGCCTAACGTCGAATCGCTATCATGCTGAATTTAATATATCGAAAGTTGCCTATTGGTTTTTGGCTTTTCTATGAATTTAATCCAACTGCACGTACAGCGCGGTTAAATATTCGCTGCAACGACTTTCCGTTTCTTCACTTCTGGGCCCCCGAATGAAGGACAGCTAGCATACAGTCGGGGAAACTCAAGTCATTTTTGTCTTTGCCGGTTCTGTTATCATTAGTTTATTTGTCTTTATTAAAAGAGAAGCATCTGGGGGTCATCAATACTTTAAAAAACCGAGCTCTGTTTTTCTATGTACGTCGCTGTATTTATGAGAGAATTAGCTCATTCTATCTTGGCAGAAGTCAATCTTAAATACTACAACGAATAAATTCATTTTAAATAAGCCTGGTTTTGACGACTTTATCCAGGCTGCAATCGGACTGATTTTTCTCGCGTTCTTCTCCAGTCACACACACAACTGTTTAAACTTCGTATCTACTTTCTACGCTCGCAACTATTTGCTAAGCCGATTTACTAAAGTTGTCAAAAATTTGATGAAGAACATATTCCTTGCCAATATTTTTCCTCTAGGAAACCGTCAAAGGCGCGAAAATTAATAAGAATAAGGTTTTACCTTGCCCAGTCCCTAGGCCTCATTATTGCGCGCGGCTGATGCGTTTCGGGTCACGTGGTCCGAGCGAATCTTCCTGCCGTTCGTCTCGGATACGACATCGAAATGCATTGACCGAGAAGGCCTGGGAAGACGCCGTACACTGGACTTTTTAGTGCCACTGTTGAATTAGCTTTAGTGTATGGTGCTTTGCCTGGTCATTAACTAAATCCCTTCAGTCCTAGCTCGATGGAACCTATAGCCGGATGCTGAGAGCTATGCTTAACATATCCTGGAGACAACATCCAACCAAACTGCAGCTTCATGGACCCATCCCTGACATTTCTACAATCTTACGTGAACGAAGAATGCACTTTGCAGGTCACTGCTGGCGAGCAAAACAAGAACTCGCAATCGATCTACCTCTCTGGTCACCTAACCATGGTAAAAGGCGGGTTGGTCGCCCTGCAATCACCTACATCTGCCAACTCTGTAGAGACGCGGGATTCCTTCCAAACGACCTCCCTGCTTTGTTGCAGGACCGTGGTGGACGGAGTGATAGACTCATGAATGCCTCAGCTAGCTCGACCTGATAATGAAAACAATAATGTACGAATTTTCCTTTCTTTTTTTTGAACATGGATATAGCCTGCGTTGCAGCCGTTCCACGCATTAATCTAAACCATCGTTTGCAACGCATCGCAGGCAACATGGATACAGTCCGCTTGATAATCCACTCAAGGAAAAGTCGTCCACATGTGACAAATTGAGCGAGGCAACTTATACGCGACAAAATTTGAAAGGACTAGAAGAAAATTCGTTTTATTTTTGTTACGTTTTCACTGCCGTCGTCTTTGTCGGTTGACCAGGCCTGTCTTATACTGATCACCGTGCAAGATACAAGTCCTATGTACTGAACATTATGCAAGCTGACAAGCCTTACTGATGCTCATGCAAGAGCGATGCACTGTTCATTTACAGGTCTTATATAGGTCTTTTATAAACTGATCATCACACAGGACTAAAATACGGATGCAAGGTACATGTCTTACTTATGTACCGATCTTCCATAAAGGAATGAAATACTCATAATTAAGCAAGAACAATATAACCACGCCAAATTCAACATACCGGTCTTAAGCCAAGACCAGTAACGTCTGTTACACTTCAGTATGATTACCATGCATTCATACAAGTCTAATACCCTGAGAATCAGGCAAAGAGATAACCAGGAATGAACAAACTGACCATGAAGCCTGTGACCACTATAACGGTCAATATGGGCCTGATTTGCGGACCCATAACAATGTCATTATGTCATAATATGTCATAACAAAATCCCTCGCGCGTGGTCTCTCGCCCTGATTCCCTTCCTCTTCCCTTTCGAACGCCTGCCACGCAGGCTAGCAGTGGAAGTGCTATGCTTAGTGCTCTCTGATGAAATTTGTTTGATATCTGCTTCATATTTCCACAGGAGCATTATGTGCATGGCAGTTAAGGCACTAATTAATGACTTGAGAGCAGTATTGACCTAAAACAGCAATATCCTCGTGACATACTGCAGCTCCTTTAAACTCACAGTTCTTTTATACTATAATACATATCTGATGATATTTATTGTACCGATGTGCTCTAGAGTTAGCAATTAAAAGGTTATCAATCAAGCGGCTATTTAATAGTCATCAAATACAACAGAAACTTCCCTTTGAAAGCTAAGTTCTAGTTTTTAAAGTTCAATTTATGGCAATTACTGCCGTCGATATTCTCAAGTATTTCGGCTAACCTTGATAATCTCTCCAGTCGGTCTGCGTTAAAAATTCTGGATGTCGCAGCACAAAATTAACTACATACTGCTCACTGGGGCTTTTTGGCTAGAACATATTAGCATTGTGCTCGAGTCACGGTGTAAGGACGTCAATGAAACTGCCAGAAGAAATCCAAGAAAAAAATTATCTAGAAATTAATCCGATTGCTGAGGGAGCTATACTTTTCTCTTTTCCTTTGCATTTACCATCTCTTTATCCCGTTTTTCGCTCTCGTACAATTTAAATCACATGTAATAATAAAATTTCCTTTTGTAACTCGCAATAATAGCCGTTTCTTGATTGCCAAAACGGCGCGCCCAGCCGCAAAAACAGTCAAAACAACGGACTAAGTTTGTCGTTTGACGACGTCATTGAGGTGGATGACAATCTGATCACAAAGCGCATCCGTTTCTTTCCTGCATGTGATTGAAATAGTGCTACAAGTTTTGAACTTTCATTAGGTGCAGTTACACGATCCCTTTTACTCATGGGCAATGGCTGCTGCCCACAGGGAAGCAACTTTTTTGTGTGCGGCTACTTTCCCCAAGGTGGCCTCGGGGAAATTTCCAAGGATACGTCAAAAAGAACAAAAGAATTACCCATAACAGTTCCCGAGGTACGTTCTATGGGTTGAGAACCCGAAGCGCCTCAACCAATCAACGGCAAAGTGAAATGTACAAAACAGTAGAAATCAGGGGCCCGTTTCTCGAAAGTCCCGATAATTAACGGGCCCGGTAAGCTGTTTCCGTTTACATTATAGATCGAGGTTTCAATAGTTTTGCATCTAACACGATAAAACTTTCAGTTAATGAAACAAAATGGAGTAGTTTGCTAGCCAGGACCCGCGCTCTTATTCTTTACATTTCGATTTGAATATTTGATTTCGGGCCCGTAAAGTTACCGGGACTTTCGAGAAACGGGCCCCAGGGCCCAGTTGTTCGAAGGCTGATTAGTGCGTAACCCAGGGTTAAATTTAACCAGGATTTCTTTTTCTTTCTTCACATGCATTTTCACCGATAATTTTCTCTGTTATTCTTAAGAGTATGCAATCATTAACCTGTTGACGGAAAGAATAAAACTGACTTTACTTTTTAAATCAAAAAACCTAGAAATGGCCTTTTACCAACTTTTCACCTGATTTGACATGAAATAGACAGATTTGGTTGTTTTATGTTGAAAAGTGGATTTTTTTCAAAAAGCTTGGTCCTTTGCTTAACCCATTCGCTCCTGGAGATTTTGCAGAAAAACGCGTTTTGAAGCTAGTCGAGTGGTTTTCTGGTCACTGTCGTGCTATAAAGAGCTAAAACTTACCACAAACTGGTTTACAGGTCGTACACTTCGCGGCCTTCTGATCCAGATGCAAAATATCAGCTTGCGAAGTTCGGGCACGCGCAGAAAGCAAAATTTCGAGATGGGTTTGGGTTTAAAAGTGACACAACAGTCTTGACTTTTACTTTTCGCTTTTCTTGCCTCATTTTTTTTTCTCTTGCTGGGCATTTAGTAGGCTTCGTTTTGGTGGGAAGAGTTTTTAGGAACGCTTTTAGGATCTTAGGATTAGGTGAAAGGAAAGGTAGGTGAGTAATGGAACAAGATTTTCAAGGAGATCTTCAGGTCAATGTCACATGGTTTTTTTGCTTCTTTCTCCGGTGTCCTTGACTGAATCGTGCTCATTCTGGTATGGTTTGAAAGATCTCTTCACTCTGCACAAGTTAGCGAAGAAAGTTGTCCTTGACCGTTAAAACTGATGACGTCACAATGGGTAGAAAGGACCTGGATCCGCACGGGCGGTTCAGGGGCGAATGGGTTAAGCTTTCAAATGTGAATTCAAATTGCGCACTAACCCTGAGTTATCTTAACCCAGCTTTAAACAACCTGGCCCAGGTGTTGCTTACGTGCTGTGTTCGTCCTTGCAAATCCCTAG